ATAATAATAATAATAATAATAATAAACAACTATAAGACTACATTGATTAAATAGGGGACTAACAGTCTGATTCTCCAGCAGGGAAATTAGCGTGGCACACATACGTATTTCTGTAGGAGCAGAAAGAGCATGAATATATATCATTTTTCCTGTGTTTTTATGCTATTGTGCCATCACTCCCTGTGTGGTGCAATGAAAGGCTTTTACCAGTTTCTGGACATAGGTGTTCTTTCTAAAAATGAGAGATTATTCTCTATAATTATTGTAAACCCTTTCTAGGTCTAACACAAATTTCAGTAATTATTCTGGGAGCATAAAGGGACTGGACTGTGTTCAAATAAACTACACCTTACAAAATAAACTACACCCTTCCACATATTCAAACCCTAGATTCATGAAGCACAGAATACAAATACACACCATGACTGAAGTGAGCTTTCTCTATACGCTCTGTAAAACAAATTGTCCATCATGATTGCCTACCTTGATGTCACAGGAGCAAAGAGCTTCTCATCTCATATGGGGACAAATAAGTCATCTAACGTGTTAGAGAAAATCCTCAGTGAGATAAGATAGATAAAGAGGTTCTCACATGATCTCAGCTTTCACGTGGAAACGTCTGTCCTTAATCTGTGTGGGAAGAGACAGTTTAGCTTTCCCACTGACCTCAAAAGCAAGGCACCACTAGGGATGATGGGGAATGAAATAACATTCTGCACATCCACATGGACAATAAAACTGAAGTTATTTCATCACAAAGAACTTTCTGTGCTATATTTCAATGTTTACTGAAACAAATGTTTAATAAAACCATTATGGCGTGTCTCATTCATGGTCTAACTCAAAATTGTTGCAATGGAAAATATAGAATATTCCTGTCATTCTGGTTCACAAATTGCTGAAATGTTTCTATGCCTCTCAAGAGTTTGTACATCTTTCCAGTCCCTGTCTAACATGGTAGATGTCCTTAATTTTTTACTTTAAAATCTTTGGTTTTTCTTTTCCTGTTTGCCTTTTTTTTTATAAAAAAAAATCCCATCTGCTTTCTCTTCTATATACCTTCTTTCTTTTTTCCTCACTTCATCTCCCTCTTCCTTGTTCTCTTCATCTTAGGAACAAGTTCAAGGTCACAACTCTGATCCTTTATTGATGTGTTTTGTGAGGAGTATGAACTTCAAACACGTCAACATTAAGAAATGGTGGGGAAAACTAAGAGTAGGAGAGAGGCAGGGATCAAGTAGAGGAATGGCTGGAAAGGTTCAATAAGGTAGATATGATAATGCCATAATGAAACCTATTATTTTGTATGTTAAATTTAAAAATTTGAAAAGCAGCAATGCTTTAAAATGAATTGCAGTCTGTCAGTGTAAAGTTTAGAATGAAATTAGAGAAAGCTGTGAGTGTTTGATCTTGGATACCAAAATTTCATTTGATTCTCAGTATACCTTTAGCAGTGTTTGCCAAATGTTAGAGCATGGATAAAAGAGGGGACCCAAAATCATGGCTAAAGGGTTACTGCTGAAGAATGAGTGACTATAGAGAGAAATAAACAGTTCCTTAAAAACAGTAATGGGGGCTGGAGAGAAAGTTCCTCTGTTAGAATACTTGCTGTTTTTACAAAGGAGCCTGGGGTACAATTCTCAGAACTCCTTTTGGGTAGCTCACAACTGTATTCCAGTTTCAAGAGATCCTGTCACAGTGTAAGGTGTGGATTTTCTCAGCCTCCAGGTGCTAACCATTCGTAACTCAATCCAAAACATCTTCTGGACTCTGCAAGCATCTGCGTACACACACACACACACACACACACACACACACACTTAAAAGGTTCTAATTTAAAAGAAATATAAAGAATGAACTAGAAAGTGAAGCGAAGTACTCAGTCTTTCTGTCATTCCAGTGCTGTTTAGAGTGATGTCACTGGATCAAGAAAGGTGCCCTCATTAGCATCTTTATAGTTTGTAGATACGGTAAGATTCTGAAAAGAATTCTATTGGAACTATGTATATTATATATATATGAAAGATTGATATTAAAAATATTTTTAAGATATAAAATGGCACCAAAAGCATTGCTACAAAGACAAAGGGTGTGTGGAACCCTCTAGAAACTGTTTACACCTTTTAGTAGTAACAAAGCTGAGCCTGGTGACACAGACCATGGGAGAATGAAACTGGTAGGATCAGGAGTCCAAGGTTAGCCTCAGCTACACTAGATCTTGTCTGGAAAAAAAGTAAATAAAATAAAAGTAATGTGTTTTATCTTTTGTTTTCTAAAAAAAAAATCTCACAATATATCTCATGCTGTCCTGCAACTGACTATTTAATAACAGCCATTGGGAGCAAACTAGCAACAATCCTCCTGTCTCACTCTTTTAAGGGCTGAAATTATAGACTTCCATTCCCATCCTATCACTGAAGGATATATCCATGGAGCCACATAGAATGGATTGTTTCTTGGGCAATCAATCATAACTTCAAGTTTTGAAAAAAGAAGCTTTTAATATTGCCTTACTTTCACAAAATCAAACATTTACCATTATCTGTTATGGATAGTTCTGTCTTCTGCCTAGTATATAATCAACACTGATGAGTCCACTAAACGAACCTTCTAAGAATTTTGGCCGCTATACATATACATTTGTACGAGCTAAATCCTTCTTAATGGCTAACCCAAATTCTATAGTCAGAATGACAGACAACAGCAATAGTTCAAAGTCAATTTCTGTTTCAAAGCCTCTTTCTGGATTAAATACTAGTTATGCACAGCTAATTGAACTCTGGAAGAAGAGTACAGTAAACCTTAATGTCATTCCGCAAAAGTTGCATGGTTTTGATTTTTAAGATATTTGTAAAGAATTTCTGCTTCTATATGTGGTAACATTAGACATTAGGAAGTCAGAACAAACAGTGCTTCCTACCTATCCACATTACTTAGGATTAAAGATCAAATTAGAATGAGTGCATAAAGGAAGTAGAGTTTTTATTCATAATTTTACAAGTGAAGCATTTGAGTGGTGTTTCCACAAAGTTCTTAGTTGCTGTGGTTTTGATTTCCCTTTTTAGTTAAGACAAATTGAAACATTACAGACAGGTCTTTAGACACAACTTCAATCCAGCCCTTTCCCTTCAAAGCCTCAAATGCTAATACTTGGGGACATTGTTGATTTTCTTAGGGACACAGATATGTCAGAATTTAACATGATCCATTATTTATAATTCAGTGCCCAATTAGATTGGACTCTCTTACCGCAACTTGCTTCTTTAAAGCAATAAGTTGCCATCTCTGGAAAAAAATCTCTGGGTCCTGTAGTTGAGCAACCATCACTTTCAGTTAAAAAAAAAATGGACCAAAAGAACAGCAGTTAAGCATACTGAGAGATCAGCTAGTAATCATAAGTAGTGTTTTAAAATGTGTCACTGATATTCTTAAAGAGTTATTTGGGTATTATATTGCATTTTTAAGGATTAAATAATGTATTAATTCAGAGCATTCTAGAACTCACAAACTCCGAATGTATCTTTTAGAACATCTTCTAATGAAAGTCTGTGCTATGCACACAGCAGAGTCACAGAGAGAAGTGTGAATCTGAAGGTGTTCCTTCATTCCTATCTGCACATTCTAGGTTGACTAAACTTAGACCATAATGATGCGGGTTTCCCCTCTGTATGCTGTGAATATGTTTTATTTTTATTTTTTTATTTTTTCGAGACAGTGTTTCTCCGTAGCTTTTTGTTCCTGTCCTGGAACTAGCTATTGTAGACCAGGCTGGCCTCGAACTCACAGAGATCTGCCTGCCTCTGCCTCCCGAGTGCTGGGATTAAAGGCATGCGCCACCACCGCCTGGCTGTGAATATGTTTTATTACCATTTCGTTAATAAAGAAACTGCTTTGACCTATGGCAGGGAAGAATATAGCTAGTCAGGAAATCCAAACAAAGATACAGAGAGAAAGAAGGCAGAGTCAGGAAGATGCCATGTATCTGATAAAGGAGGATGCCAGAAATTTACCAGTAAGCCACAGCCTTGGGGCAATACACAGATTAACAAAAATGTGTTAATTTAAAATGGAAGCGCTATTTAAAAACATGCCTGACCTTTTGGTCAAACAGTGTTGTAATTTTGTGTAATTACTTGGGTCTCGATGGCCCGGAAAATAGAGTGCATGCTCTGCTTACACCATAAACCAGTTTTCCAAAGCTCTGACACTGTGGTAAAACTATTCTATGTGAACCCTCTCCCCTGTAACACCCACATCTTCTCTTCACCACTGAGTGGCATTCCTTTGAGAGCAAGGTGTGCACAGAGGAAGGCTTGAGTCCAGTTTAGTGACTGACCCTTATTCCCTCTTGTAGAGCATGCGGTGAGGAACTTACTCTTATGCTCACGTCCCACAACTCTGTTCTAAGTGGTACACATACGAAGGAAGGGATATTTTTAGACATTCTAGTAATGGAACCAGCTTCACTCAAACAGTTTGTAAATATTAAAACTTCCTTCAAAAGCAATCTGGAAGCTAAATCTTATACAACTGCTTTGCAAAACATTTTTGCCTTTGGCCTTTTAGACTGAGAATCCAATATTAGATTTCTGCACATGAAATGTTGCTTTTAAACTTTCCAAGTTTGGATATATTAGCTGTTGCTGGGAGCTTCTAGTGTTTTCTCAACTTTATCTTTTGGATCAACCACGGTATCTTGGGATTCTTTGCCGAGTTGAAGAATATTCTCACTAATTTTTAGCTTTTTGTTAAATCACATGTGTGGATATTCTAAACAACTGTTCAGCTCTCTCCCCAGTCCATCTATACTAATGACTCAAAAAAACCATTTATTACGATGTGTTGAAGTGGGATTTTTTTTTATGGTCCACATAAAATTGTTTTCAAGCTTCTATGGTAATGTGTTATCTTTGTCTATGCTACTCTTGGTTTTCAATCAAAATTATTACATCTCCAGGGACAAATAATTTTTTGTGTCTTGGATACTTCTGGCTTTAATTTTTACTTTAGTGATTCTTTTATTGTTTTGTTTTGCCAATAAATTTTAAGAAACACAAGACTTAGATTGATATTCAAGCTAATTCATAACAGCCCTTGTATTGGGTTCAAACCTTCTTTACAAAACTTCAGAAAGCTTACCAAATGAAGCTAAAATACTATTTGCTAAAATAATTATTATGTTCCAAATGTACGAAATAAAAAAAATTATCACATGGATAGTAACTGATATATAACATGTTTTGCTTCATTGTTGGAACCAATGAGTCGAAAGATGATTTGAATTTTGGATGAGTTTCAAAGACGGAGAACACTGGATGAACATGGATCATGCTATGCTGTTGGATTCAAAGAGGTTGACCATGATTTTCCTCTTTAAACAATGATGAACTCAGTTTAAACATCCTGATGTTGTCAAATGATTTTTTTTCTCTCACTTTCTTTTTCCATCAAAGTTAAAAAAGTAGGCTTTTTCCAGTGTATCCAGAATGTAACTTAACGCAGAGTGCACTTGATATCCGCTTTGAGTGTGCAGAGAGCTCATCATTATGAAATGCAAGACAACTCAAAAATCTGTGATAAGAGAATTTTGGAAGACGACATTCCATTTTCTACAACTGGAACATAATGTAAGATGGCGATGGACAGAACTTCACCATTTATAATACAATTTTCACTTTATTTTAAACATAGTTTGCATGTTATAAAAATACTGATCACAGTGAGCTTTACCAATTGTTATTGCTATAAAAATGAATGCAGGAACAATATTTTTAGTGGAAATAAATTATATAGTCATTCTTTTTTTTTTTCTTTTTAAATCACAAGAGAAAACCCTTGGCTGTCTGTCACCGGTAGAAGAGCAGACTTTGAAGAAGCCTTTTCCCACAAGCACCAGTCCGTTCCTGCAGCTCTCCACATGGTTCAGGAAACACAGACTTGGGCCTCTGTTACTGTGGTCCCACAGAGTCTTTCTGTGCATAAACAGTTCTATCGGGGCAACAGTTTTTCAAGACAGTAAAATGATGAACTGAAAATTGGTATGATCTTAGCTCATATGTGGTCTTTTCCAATATGATGGGACACAGCGACATACTTCTTCACTAAATGACAGTCCCGGGTCACAGTGCTTCAGTCGATTTGTACAGGGTCGTCTGTAACAACTAGAAAAACAGAGAGAAACACATATGGTGAAGACCAAGGTCATGATGCTAAAAATCAGCTTTTATATTTTCTTAAGTTTAAACTCAGAAAAATTACTAATTTTATTAAAATGTGTTTATAGGTTTATAAATGTTTAAGTGTGTGCTTACGCTTACGGCACTGTAGGAGAATAAAAAGCCTTAAAAACATGTCCCAGTTGCTGACATAACAATGGAAAGATGGGCTATTGTAAGCATTAGTTCTTTTGAAGTACTTTCTGCTTTGTGGATGAAAGTAACATAAAACAGAAATTTTGAAAGTGAATATTTAAGGTCTGCTGATTTCCTGTGATCACATAAACATGGCAACATTCACAAAAGTCTGGCATGTGCATGGGACCCAGACTTCCAGGCAATTAAACCCAGTCATCTTGGCAGGACCATAGTCTTTGGCGAGCAGCACCATCCACACTCTTGTGTTTTTACTCAGCAGCTGGCTGGGTAATGGTGGGTAACTCTTCCTTCCCCACCTGTACTCTGGATAGTCAGGGAAAACATGATTGGCTGGGGCCTTCTCCATCCACACTAGACTTCCAGCTGCTGGTAGTAGTGAAAAGACAAATTTCGATCATTTAATTTTTGAAAGTTCTGCTTGCTATAGTGAATTGACTCTAACTTTGAAGAATGATACAGAAGATAAGTATGCCTCACTGTGTAATGGGCTAGAAAGGAAACGTGAAAGTGAACTAAAGAGACCCTTAAACACTTCAAATTTCATCTCATTTGATATGGAAAGGAAAGCATAGCCAATGATTTTTTTTAACGTATTTTAAATTTTTAATTTTATTCACTTTAATCTCTGAAAGTTTCATGTGCATATATAATGTCTCCTTATTACTCTTTCTCGTGTCCCTGTCACATCTATCAACTCCTAATCCTCTCTCCTGGTCCCTCTCACACATTCATGACTTTTTCTTTGGCTTTTGAACCATTCTACCATTCATTTTAACCATGGCCAGCTGAGTGATCACTGGTTTGGAAGTATCCACTAGAGTAGGGGGAAGGATGGGTCAGATGTGGGTATAAAACTAATGGCAATAAGTTCTCTCTTCCTGAATCATCAGGAACAAAGAATTCGGCAGTAAGGGGCTGTGTCCTCCTACCCTTCCTCCATTCTTGCCCCACAAAGGCCCATTCTTGTTGAGCCACTATGAGCAACTATAACTACAAAGAGCTCATGATTGTAATGGCTGTGCCTTTCCCAGAAGAACTCTGCAGCTCTTTGCTCTATCTTCCTAGCTCTTACATTCTTTCAGTCTTCATCTCTAGAATGTTCTTAGAGCCTTAGAGCAGGATAGTATAAATGTATTGCTAAAAACTTTTAAAATATTCATAATTACACAATGAATACAATTTGCTTATCAAAAAGGCATGAGATTTTTAATGGTCAATGACAGCTGTTGATTAAGGCAGTAAAATGAAAATACATTCTGCCTTTCTTCACTGAAATAAATATTAAGAGAAATGTGCATATATATACTTTACAATTTTCTCCATCTATTTGATACCATAACCTATGGAACCATACACTTAGTGTGGTTAGAAAACTGGGCACACAAAGAGTTACAATATGTATAATAACTCAGCATAGGGATATAGTTCAAGACTTAGAGTATTGCTCCATGGCCACTTGACCAGGACAACCAACTTCAACCTTAAATAGGAGAAAAACAGGAAAAGAATTTATGAAAGATGTGTCTTGTTTGTTCAGCAAAGATGTATGATATACATATAGTCTACTCTGCAGCTACATGACAATTCTCTGTAGAAAATTTAGATGTCTGGCTAGTCAAAACGCATTCTCAAAAGATTCAAATTTGTTAACATGTACTAAATTCATTGAAAAAAGATTCAATGTGAAACATGACTTAATCAGGTTTGCTGAAATATAACAGCTGTATTCATTTGGATATAATACTGAATTTTGAAACTACCTTTTGGTAAGTGCCGTAAAATTGGAAAATGTGTATTATTAAAAATATTTTTCAAAAATAAGTATTAAGATTTATATAAGGAACTCTTCAGCAACACAAGAAATAAAAAAATATCATCAATGAAAAACCTGGATTTAGCAGTGACCCATTTTGCAGTAACTACAAATGACAGATCTTCAGAATTAAAAGTGAAAATAAGAACACAAAGTCTCGAGACTCAAAAGATAGCCTCTACTTAATGAGGTACAAGGTTAATGCTAAATAGTCACAAGGATACAATATAAAAATAAAAAGAAAACAGCTTTTATTTTAGATGATGAAAGGGTATTATTTGCCCATGTCTAATTTATGGATGGAAGAAGATACTCAATGAAAGAGAAAAATTATTGAAAATGAGGACACTAAAATCTCATGTGCTATGAGAAAAGAATAAAAGCAGAAAAATGGTGACATTAAACACACTGGTGGTTCTCAATCAATGGGTCATGACGCCTATGGGGAGTCAAATGACCCTTTCACAGGGGTTGCATATCAGATATCCTATATATCAAATATTTATATTATAATTCACAACAGTAGATAAACTACAGTTATAAAATACCAATGAAAACAGTTTTATGTATGGGGGGGCACCACAACATGAGGAACTGTATTAAAGGGTTCCAGCATTAGCAAGGTTGAGAATCACTGTTCTAGATACATATGGCAATCTTTACTGGATCTCGTAACTCAGAGGCTTAAACGCAGCTAGATACAGAAACATCTGCCAGGTTATTGTCCCTCCTTAGACTGGAGATGGAAGAGAAGAGAAAACCAATGCCATACAAAGAGGAGCAACTCTGAGAAACAGCATGAAGTGTTCTCAGCATCAAAGTCAGAAATCTGTATTCTTCTTGAACTGAGAGAGCAGGGAGACAGAGTAGAAGATACTGAGGTAATTTAAGCAGAAGCAAGGCTGCTGGGCTAGTATCGAAGGAAAACAACTAAAATATCCCAAAGAGAGGTCTGGATTAAACAGTAGTCATCTTATCCTCTGAGATGTAAGAGATACAAATTCAGACATAAATATAGAAAGTCTTTGAGTCCAAGAACCTTATTTATGTTTCCTAATGAAAAAGACTACAAAACCATGCTGTAAAAATAAAAACAAGTGGCAGATGTTGCAGCCAGTAATGACAGAGCCTTTTAAGGACATTTCAAGAGGTTTTCTTTTCATACACTCTTTTTTTTCTTCTTTCTTTTTTTTTTTTTTTTGCATTGGGGGTTGTAAGAGAATGTTTATCATGTTTTGTTTGCTTCAGTGACTTTAAGACAAATTAAAAGTCCTAAACTCTTTAAAAAAAAAAAGTGAGTGATGGAACAGAAGAGATGACTCAGTGGTTAAGTACTTGTTGCTCTTACACAGGACAAAGGATCAGCGTCCAGAACCCAGATTATTGATTTATACCTGTCTAACTCTAGTGCCAGAGATCCAGTGTCCCCCATGGGCACCAGGCACACACGTGGTGCACAGGACACACATGCCTATGGGTAAAATACCCATAGAGGTAAAATAAAATAACATTTCAAAAGTGAATCTTGAGTAATTTTCAATAATTCTGTTTTTAATTTGTAATTATGTGTTTAGGTCTGTGTTTGTCTCTGAGTACATGCATGTGGGTTCAGTTGACCACAGATGCCAGAAGAGGGTGTTGGCTCCTCTGTAACTGAAGTTAAAGGCAGTTGTGATCTGTTTGAAATCGGTGCTGGAAACCAAAGCCAGTTTCTCTGAAGGAGTACCATGTTCTCGATCACTTAGTTATTTCTCAAGTTGCTCGAGTAACCTTAAACATGACACAAATCTAGAGGCATCTGAGAACACAGTGAATCTCAACTAAGAAAGTGATGAGATCAGACTGGCCTATGTCCGTGTCTGTGAGACATTTTCTTAATTATTAATTGATACAGAGCCAGCCCACAGTGGATGGTACTATCCCTAGACAGGTAGACTTTGATCCTGCAAGGAAGCCTGGGAGCAAGCCAATACAAAGTGTGCCTCCAGGTTTCCTTCAGTTCTTGTCTCCAGCTTTTCTGCCTTGGCTTCCTTCGTGATAGACTGCAACCTGGAAGTCAAATAAGCCCATTCTTCCCCGAGTTGCTTTCGGGTATGGTATTTTATCACAGCAACAGAGAGCGAGCTAGAACATTTATCCAGTTCTCATTAGGAATTCCGTGTAAATATTTCATTTTCAGATAAAATTCTTCAGAAAATGGTGCTGCGTTTTATTTTTAAGCTTTAAAATAATGCATTGGGCTGGGTCATGGTGGTGTATGCCTTTGATCCCAGCACTCGGGAGGCAGAGGCAGGAGGATCTCTGTGAGTTCAAGGACAGCCTGGTCTACAGAGCTAGTTCCAGGACAGGCACCAAAGCTACAGAGAAACCCTGTCCAAAAAAAAAAAAAAAAAAAAAAAGATTCATTTGAAGCATCTGGTCGTAAATTCCATCTGAAAGTAAAATTTTTGAAGGCATCAGACATAGAATGCATTTGTAAAATAATATATCTATCCTCTACTCATATTGGGCTTTGCTATATTAGTCTCTTGGACAAAGAATTAGTTTGGGGTATATTTTAGACTTCTTTTTGTGCCTTGATGTTTCTTTGTTGCCTTTGATATTACTCAACTCCCAGGGACCAAATGTACTTATGTAATCCTGGAATCCATCCACTTAGGAAATCAAGGTAGGAGTATGCTAAATTTTAAGTCAGCCTGACTATATAGCAAGTCTGACTCAAAGAAGTCTAGTGTTAAGAAAGAATAGCATTGATTTAAGTAACTGCATTCTTTCTTCTCCGAGGGTTTATTGTCTTCATTCAAATAAGCTGCTGCTAGTTTGGGTTGAGAAAAACAGCTCCTGGTTGAGAAGACTGCATGTTCTAGAAGCAAATTAGCGTTGTTTACCTAGACTCCTTACCTGCATGTTTGATGGTGGAATTTCTTCCCTTTTAGGAAGCACTTCTGTGTGTTTTCTGTACATTCACAGACACATTTCCCAGGATTCAGCGGTTGATTTCTAGGACAGGTTCTTTTACATACACACTGGCATGTGTTTTCATCAAATTCTCTGTTGGCTCCACATGAGCTGGGGAAAAGTTTGTTTTTACAGACACACTGGCACGAGTTTCTGTCCAGTTCTTTGTGGGGTCCACAGCTGGATGGCCGAAGGCCACCTTTGCAGATACACTGGCAGGTATCTTCATCCAGCTCCTTGTTGGGTCCACAGACATCATGGAATCCATGGGTGGAGTCTAGAAGAACACAGAACATATTTACCAGACCTTAGTACTTCAAGGTGTGGGTTTACATACATGCATTCAAAATACCCTCCTTTTTCGCTTTTCAGTAATATATGTAAACACCCTTTAAGTAGAAATTAAAAGTAATAGCAAAGGAAGTAGCTAATATCCTACTTTGTACTCATCAGTAAGTGATGAGCAGAATATTGTGAGCATTTAAAATGGAAATATGTTCATCAAAATACAGATCAGATACAAACTGAAGTGTTTTTTTACTTACCACCCTCAGCATTTGAATAAAAGATAAAATCCTGCTGGGCCAGGCATCGGCACATGTAGTTATTCCACACATAGTTTGCAGGACAAGTTTTGTTGACTGCTTGACACCTTGGGGGAAGACAAATCAAACAGGAGCTAAAGAATGGTGTAACTGGCATAGAGAAGGATCATTTCTTTGCATGTGCATGTTATAAGTCAAAACATGGTAACAGCAAAGCTTGAAAATACGCAAGAATAGAGATGAACCATTAGTGTCTCCCCTAAAACTACCCCCACCTCACCTGCTCCAGGTTCCAATCTGAGCTTACCCTTATAAGTTATAAGGCCTAAGAGGACTTAAACTTTTTAAAAGCAAGTAGGCATCTTTGTATAATGACATATTGTTTGACTTTCAAAAAAATGCAATGATGCCTTCTATCTTTCCCTGTAATTTCCTTTACCAAATAAAAAATATATTTCAGGCAACTCTAGAGGTTATTTGATAATTTTTATCTGAAGGACTTTTAGTGACATACAAACTTTCATGAAAAGATGTAATATGGTTTATTTCTTATAATAATAGTTTAGGTGGCTTTCAGCTCTTGCCTCATTAAAGTACTGCAGCTATCGTGATATTCCCATACAAACACATTTACTGTTTTAATTCTGAACCCTAGATCCTATAGCTCTAATATCACTTGATTAATGTATAATTCCCACTTTCCATTTCACCATAAATTTCCCAGAGCACATTTGGATTTTTTTTGGGGGGGGGGGTGATGACTATTTCCTTCCTTCTTTTCTTTCTTCTTACCCTCTTTTCCTTCTTTCATCCCTACCTCCTTTCAATATTCAATATTTGTTTTAGAAAACATTACCAACAAATTGTCTTCTATTGAGGACTTAAATTACTCCTTGATTGTTTGCCCTTGGCTAATAGGAACCCATTCACCTTAATGACTACAACATTGGGCACTTTAGTGTGACAAACCTCAGTTATTCACTACTCCACCTAGAATGAACCATTCTTCACGGAGCAATATTACTCTTTATCACCATCATCATCACCGTCATCATCATCATCATTACTACTACTACTACTCTGGAAAATGACATTTAGAATCTATCATTTGGGTTTAATCATGTTCTGTACTATTATATTCAATTTCTTCTAGATCGTCTGAGTCAAATGCAGATACACTCTGCAGCCTGTTCTCCCGGTTAATGTCTATCCAGGAGACGCCTTTCCTTTTAATATTCTAACAGTGAGAGCTTTCATGAACCTTTACTACGTGACTTGTCACGGACATTGGTGTGGATGTCAAAGGCAAATATTTACTTAGATATCACACATCATTCATTTTAAAGCAATATTATAAACAACAGTATGTGGCGAAGAATGCTCCAAAATGCTACAACAAAGAAACGATCTGCAGACACCCTGAAATGGGCTCCAAGTGAAGAACAAACAGGCCACGTGCTTTGGATGTTACTACGAAAAGTTATATAGATTATTCAAGGTGATGAAACACTGTTTTAAAAACATCTAAGAAGTACTATGAAACCACACAAAGAATTTGTTTTGGGCTTTACTTTACAGAAAAAGCAATTCCAAATTGTGTGTGCTTGGCAGAAAGCCCTCACTATATAGTATAAAGTTGGCTTTGGACTTCTGACCCTTGGCCCCCCCAGTGCTGGGATCACAGACTCACATCTCTGTACTTATCTTCTAAATCTGTACATTACGACCATGTCTACTGTCATTCTGAGCATCACCTCTGATGATTTATCAGTGTTTTCCTTTCCAGCAGTCTACAGCAATTCTAAGAAAGGATCTATTCACACATTTCAACATGGCAGCTTGTCTAAAGTGTCCCATATGTTTCAGTCTACTTAGGGAGTCAGTTACAGGGAGTTTCTTGATTTAGTTTAAGTCTGATCTGTTAATCGCTATATTTTTTGCTACGTCATGGAAACTAGTCTCTTGTAGAGCATGAAAATAGTCTAGATGGTAACCAAACAAGTATATATGCAAAAGCAGTAATAATTGTTAGATGAATATAAAACTTTATAAGCATCTTAGATGCTTTCACAATGTGTCTTTTGGAGACACTATGATTCATGGTAATTCATCAGAAATAAGCTGGGCTTGAGGGCTAATTACAGTTGACTGTATGTTTTTCCCTTTAAAGTAAAATTAAATATGTTTGCCACATATATTTTCTGCAATAAGTATGTAATTTTAAGGGAGATAAGCATGTATGCACTTTTAGGCAAAAAGAAGGTCAGTTATGTCCAAAACCAACACAGGATAGCTAGGACTTTCCGTATGTTTAACTTAATCCTAACAAATTCCACTAAAATACTTGGGCTCCAACAGTCTTTATACAAATAGCTGCTTGCTTTATTCTGTGTACACTACACGCCTTTTGTTTTTACTCTTAAAGATAAAACATATTTACTTATGTGATAATGAGTTAAGACTATGAGAAGTGTGCTCATTCTGATCCATATCCCAGTGTGCCATTACTTTTTTGTTTAGATATTTTTGTTTATATATGTCAGTATTTCTTCCTGGAAAATAACCAAAACCAAAAATCAACAACAAGGCAACATGTTTAAACCTTGTTTGTTCACTTAGCATTTCTCGGAACATGCCAAACTATCCTAAAAAAATCCACTTAATCCTAAGGGAAAATCTCTCCGCACACTCCAGTATTTTGTCACTGTGGTGGTTTGAAGGAGGGACTCCCTGTAAGTCACAGATTCCTGGACAAGTGGTCTCCATTTGGTAGATGTTTGTGGTTTGCTAGAGGGTGTGCCATTGACAGCAGGTCCTGAAATTTCAAAAAACTGATGCATTTTGAGTCAGGGTTCTGATTTCTGCATGTGGATCAAGTTCTTAGCTATTGCTCCTGAACCACACTTCCATCATTCTCGCTAGAATGGTAATGGCTATTATCCTATGGGCACTGGAAACCATCAAAGAAACTCTTTTTTTAAAATTGTTATCTTGGTTATGGTATTTTATCACAGCAATAGAAAATTAAATAAGTCGTTATTTTATATTTTAGTTTAATCATAAGTATGAATTGTTCCTGATAACTTTAGAGTATTTATCAATTTTATAAACAGATATCAATAATTTTGTATGTATATTCTATCCAAACTTTAGCCTCCTGCCATAAAATACCCTTTAGTATCCTTCTACACATGGTGACAGTGCATATAGGTTATAGGTGGACACATATGACAATGATGACAATAGAAAACATTCCTTTTTCATTTTGCCAAAATGTAATTTATCCTACACTTGTCTGATGTGGCATTTTTCCAGTCACTGGTTACAGCTCTTATGTGGAACATGAAACCAACTAAAGAGTCAAAATACACATCTTAATCCCAGCATGGCGGCATATGAAATGAATCCCAGCATCTGAAATTCTCAGGGAGATACATCAGGAGTCTAAGATAATTTTGCTGGACTATATAATAAGCTTGAGGCTAGCCTGTGCTCTATAAGAAAGCTTCTCAAACACACACACACACACACACACACACACACACACAATCAAAATAAAGTCAAAGCCATATATTCCCTAGTGTGATGAAATGACATGCAATAACACAGCCTACCTAACTGAGTGTAGTAAAGATGGATTTCTACAGCTTTCCTTCAGTTACACACAGACACAAGCAAGCATTAACATACTCATACAAAGTCTCAGACATGGGTCCCCTCTCCCACTTGTGGTATGTGTTTATTTGATTTCAGTTATCCCTTTTATTTCAGTCTAAAATTTTGACAAACAGATCCAAGCTGTATAAATGGCAGAGTTACAGGAGTCCTCTCAGTTTCTAGCCCTGAACGTACTGAAGGATCTTCCCTTTTGGGCGAGCTTGGTAGGGTTTATACCTGCATTTAAGTATGTCCAACCAGGTGGGTTTCTACCCTTAGTAACCAAGAAAACAGAACCAATTTTTTCTTTTACATAGAGATTTCTATTTTATGACAGAGCATTTGCAAAAATATAAATGTAAACATATGAACTCTATGTGTAGACACAATTGCAGGAATTTACTTTGTGAATGTTATACGAACATGTATATGTATTTTCATGCATAGAAAATGCGGAGTCCACATAATCTGGTTGTACCACCTCTTCTTCTTTTTCATGCGCATGCTGAACAAGAACAGAGGTTTTGGCAAACACTTTCAATTATATTAGACTGAAATATTCTTGATAAAACAAACTTCGGAATAGTAAGTAACAGTTTGCTTAAAGGTAAATAAGTATTTTGAATTCTAATAGTTTTAAAATGCAATTTAAATTTCTAATATATATGAGAAGCTTCACACAAATAAGAAAATATTACTCATCATAAACATATTCTAATGTTGAAATCTGAAATTATGCTAGATATTATTGAATTAAAGAAACCAATATTCGGAGAAATATATATTTATAACTCCTAAATGACACTCCCTCCTTCAGGTGTAAAAAGCAACAGCTTAGGATTTATAGCATACTATCCTAAAAAACGAAGTAGAAACAAAAGTTTTAAATGTTATTATATTATAATGAAAGGAAGTATTGTCAGGATAGACAGAAGGATTACAACAAAGTGCTTATTGCCCTTATGTTTCAATCTTCAAGGCATTTTCATGCTGTTGAAACTGATATTCAAAAGTAATAAATGATTAATGAGCATATATACATTTTTATAAATAAGACATTTCATGTGCTTCATTTGGAAAACATATTACTTGAAGCATACACTTTCTGCAAGGCATAAAATAATTTTTCATGTAGATCTATGTGGGGAACCATGTAAGCAAATAAACCTTACTTTCTCATTTAAACAGAACTTGTAATTTTTATGAAGCATAAAGTTACTTTTATAAGAATTATTTCATTATTTGAAAACTTCTGGTCATGAATTCAAGGATCTATGCATTTCTCAATGAGAAAAACTGGTGTATTCAATGCTAAAATCAATTTTATTAGTCAATTTATATCTCTGAAAACTTAGAAAAATGTGTCCATTCTGGACATTTAGAATGTGTAAATTCTAAATGTTTGGTAGCAACCCTCTACACTTTGAATCTTATGTCATGCTGCTTCATGCATGCATATTTGTGACTCATTTTCTCTACATTTTCGCACTGAGGTTTTGTGCACTAAGAGATCCTTGACTCCCCAAATCTACGTAAAATTAACCAAAAACACTACCACTTCTATTTGGTATTTGATAGAAATGAACTGAAATGTTATGATTATTCAATAAACCAGGCCATGCAGCTATTACATAATATTTTGCTAGGAAAGAAAATAATGCTTTAGGGTTTAAACAATACTTCTCTTGACTGAGTTTTACTGGTAAATACATTCATGTCAAGAGGTCCTAAACTGAGCAAGTTAGACTATATATATTCTATAGGTATACAAACACATGTTCATAAATATTCTATACCTATGTTTCTATATTTATAGGTATACATATTCTATACCCTTATATATAAACACAGCACTCAGAAGGCAAGGCAGGAGGATCTCTGTGAGTTCGAGGCCAGCTTGGTCTAACGAGAGCTATTTCCAGGGCAGGCAACAAAGTAACACAGAAAAACCTTGTCTCAAAAAGACAAAGAAAAAATTAAAAAAATTAAAAATAAACACATGTATATATGTTCTATTTCTATATACAGAGAGAATACTGTAGAAAATGATAAACAGATATATACATTAAAATTTCAAAAAATAATGACCTATGTTCACAGCAATTGTAAATTTGCAAAGAGAACATTTCTAGAACTTCCTGAAATGATTTCTTTTGTATTCTGATGAAAAATTATTTTTGATCAGATGGTTTAAGATTATGTCTTAATCAATTTAATGGGAGTATCCAAGGTCTACTCTTTTTTAAATGTTAGTAAATTATTCTTATTCTTTTCTGTTTATTTATATTTAAAGGAAAAGAACAATGCATGACACTCAAGAATTCAAAGGGAAAACTGGGCAATTAGAGCTAGAAAAAGAAAACATCCTAGCTTTTGAGCTTTTAAGCAATGAGATTGAGGATCTATTATAGATTAATGGACTAAAGACATTGAGTTCTCAAGTCTTAAGTAAAAAGTTCCCTGGGCTGTGTATCCTCTGTTCTCTTTAGCAAAAATAAGAGTCCTCACAATAATGAAATCCTCCTCTTAAATTCCAATAAATGTAACTTATTACTATTAAACATATTTAGTGTTTTAGGGTCAATATTTTATAACAATTCAGGAATCAAATAAAAGATGAATTATAACCTGTGCTAGAATTTTCTATTTTATAATCCCCCTTTATCTTTCTTTTCAATTAGACACTACCTGAAAGACTGCCATAATATGATGATTGATTTCAAATAATAATTTGCAGTCATTCAATGATGTATAAATTACAATTCAAGATGCTTTGACTATATTAAACCTTTACATAACATTTATCAATAAAACTTCATATTCTATTTTCATATTTTTATAAAAACATGAAGATTCATAGATAGGTCTTCACTACTTCAAAATCACAGCCTTAGTCTTTTGATTATTTAATAGCATATTAATTTCATGGATTAAAATGTAATTAAATCATCCCAATTTTGCCACTAGATTTAAATTTTCTTACATCTTCATGGACAATGGAGGCATTAATCAATTAGGCAATAAAATCACCACTAGTAACTTTAAGATACTTGTTTGTGTCTTTCCAGTCATTGGTGTCTCACACTTTTAATCCCAGTACTCATGAGGCAAAGGCAGGCAGATTTCTGTGAGTTCAAGGCCAGCCGGGTCTGCAGAGTGAGTTCCAGGTTGTCCAAGGCTATACGGGGAAACCCTGTCTCGAAAAACCAAGATACTTATGTCTTTATATAATATTCACTTCTCTCTCTCCCTCTCCTCCCTTTCCCTCTCTCTCTTTTTATCTCTCTCTTTGTGTTCTTCTACCCTTCCATGATTATATCCTTCTATTTATATTTTGTAGTACATTGATTTTCCTGTAGTATTTGCCATGGAAACATAATCAGTTATCAATTTAACAGAATATAGTAGCTATGAAATAAGCAAACTACATGTGCATGTAACAACACAATTACATCTCTAAAACCATAATATTCATAGCACAAAGCAAAGATGCTATCAAATTAATACAGAAGCAATGCTGATTGTGGTATTTTGATGAGACAAATGCAGGGGAAAGGCTTTCATCTGAGCACTAGGAAATGGATGTGGCCTTCGAAAGGAATAAAAGAAAGAGAACTTACTTCAAGCTGAAGTCATAATAGAAACAAGATACAGAATAGGAAAAGACCTTGTGATCAGGGAATCAAACTTTGTAAAACATAGACGTGGAGAATAATGACAAGAAAGATGACAAAGAAAAAGAATGGTGAGAAACTTGTGCACAATTCCTTCAGCAACAGATAAGCACTATTCTTGCTTGGATAAATCAAATGATGTCTTTTGAAGGTTATTTACAACAGCGTACAGGAATGAGGGAAATATTTGATATTAAGAGACCGGTTTGCTGCTGATGTGCTAAATCCGACATCCACACAGACTAGAGTGGATGAATGGAAGTGATGAGAATTAAATGAAGGCTGAAGATGGATCTCCCTCTTCTCCAAGATAATGATTCATAGTTGTGTGGGATAAAAGAAGAAATTACTGATAACTGCAACTTCTAAATTTCCAAAGAATATGAGGATTTTGTGATATGAAATAAAGAGAAATAGAAGGGAATGAACTAATCTTTGGGTTTAAGACAGAGCTAACATAATTATATGAAAAATAGATAAGTGTAGAAAATTATTAGAAAACAAATACATGATCGGATCTACAAATAAAATTTTGGGAACCATGAACAAAGAGAGGATACCTAAAGTTCTCAGAACAGATGCTTTGCCTACAGAAATAGGGTCAAGAAATAAATAGTACTCGAGGGCCTGCATGAATGAGATGAGAGATGGGCCCTGTCAGTTAAGGTGGGTCACTTTCCTTAAATTACTATGGTTTTCTTCAGCGATATCTGCAAGATCTTTTCTTTTCCAAGCAAAGGAGGACAGATTTGTACTAATATCAGTTATTCAGTGTCTAAATTGATAATCTGCCCTTCCCTTTAATCTAGTGCTACTCTTTGCTATAGTAAAAGAGAGACAAGAAAACAACTTGAATGTTAAATGATAGCTTGAATATTATTTCAAGTAATATAAAGAGAAAATCCAATTAATTAGTAATATTTCAAGTCAATCTTTGCTGAAACAAGAAATAGGAAGTATATTTCAACTTACATTTTAGTATACCATCATAATATGAGTGGTTAATAATTGTTTTAAACTTAAATCATTAAGGCTTAAATTTTTAAGCTTTAGAATAATTTCCAAGTGAATAGTCAACTTCACAGACATTAAATCAATGTGGCTACTTCCTTAGTTATGTGAATGGCGGTGGGCTGTGAACCATTCTATAGACTGTTTATGTTGTGAACTACCCTGTCCATACAAGGGGTAGTTCAGTATAAATCTACTTTTATTGGATAATGTTTTATGTTTTGTATTTGATGATAAATAGAACAGTCTTTATAAAACTTCCTTAAATAAACTTGGGTTTCTTTGAAGGTAATTTTAACTTAGGAGAAGGTGTAGAAAGACAGACTGAATTCATACTCACTGTGATAGTGTTGCTGGCAGAGAACGTCTAATAATGGAATGAACTTGTCTGTAAACGTCCAGTTTAGACATGCATCGGCAGGAAGTATGATTGGCAAAACTGATTGTGACTGGTTTGGGGCCTTGAGAGAGAGGCACTGTAATTTCAAACAACTACAAAGGGACAAAAAAGAAAAAATTATTATATAGATGCTACTAAGGACTTCTATGGTGAATGTTGGAGTCCACAAGAGTGCATGAAATTAGCTTGCTATAGCTTGGTACTATGTCATATAGGCAGAGCCTCCTTAATGCTTTTAAAATGATAACAAAGTAAAAAAAGTTTGCTCCTAAATACTGTCTTCCACCAGAATAATAAATATTTCAGATGCTGACATCAAATCACTTGCTATGGAGCATATTAAAAATATGATGACCAACTAATGATATAGAACAGAGGAGTGACAGACCAGTATGTTCAAGGAAAAAGAATTGTTTCAGAGTCCAAGATTACTTAGTATCAAGGTCTTAAAAGCCTAGGAATTTAAAATGCAATACAAAGTATCTGTAGTGAATATCTTCCTGACTTATGAGCAAAGCTACTGGCCACACAGCCTAGAAATGCTTAGTTAAGTCCTATTTTATGGCAACCACATCCACAGACATAAATTACAGTTATAAAACTCATTTCCATTCCAAAAGAAATTTCTTCTTGAAAGTTTTACACATCTCAGATCTCAAGAATTTACATTTAAAATAAAAACAAGCAATCCATTATTTTGACAAACAAAGCTGTGTTATTGCAATCTTGACAGACCTTATAAAAATGGAGCTGAAAATAAAGTAGGGCATGTTATGTGTTGTTGGGCCAGAGTCTGAAGATGAGGTGTAACTAAGGTGTTTTCTGCATTCCTAGTTCATGGAGAACTATACGTCTCAAAAAGGGATGTGGGCGGGCGTAACACATAAACTAAGTGGATTTTGATTCTAAGGTTCATAAGCCAGCTTATTACTGGAAAGAATGGTAGAAGCAAGAGCCTGCCCCTTAGCTGCCTGCCTGTAAGATCTACTTATAGTAAAACAATGATAGTTGGACACTGTGTTATTCTGCATTGCCTTAGCAGTCTGAGACGTGCTCCACAGGGAGAAATACCTCCGAGCTGTGCAACTTCCCCCTGTTCCCTGGTTGTAATTTCACGCCATCACATAACATAACAATTACTGACAGTGGTTAAAATACATTTGACAGCTTGGGGCACACACTAGGAAGACATTTTCACTGAATTGTCAAGAAAGAAATAAAGTTATTTATGGCATCATGGCTAAACCTGAATGAAGATTGTGTAAAGTGATACAAGCCAGGCCCAGAAATACAAGTACTACATTGTCTCATATGTACGTGGAAAATCAAGTAAGCAAAATCACTGAAATTAAGAATAGAAAGGATGGTTTTCAGAAGCTGGGGAAGAACGATAGGACAAGGCTTCAGTACGCTCTAGGGTACTATTTCACAGCAAGGGGACAACTTACAGTCATTGCGTGTTGCATATTTCAAAAAGCAAGAAGTATCTTCAGTATTTTTGCAGATATAACTTATAAATATTTGAGCACATAGGCTTTTAACCTGATTACACAATGCATACATATTTAAATATTCAGTATACTATCAATATGAAATTCCGTTTTTAATGTAGCTATCAAAATAAACGTAAATTGAAGAAAAAGAATGATCTGAAGTATATGATGTGTATTTTCTTTACTTGAAGGGTACATATACATTCAACAATTCAACTATTTTCTATAAAAAACATAACATGTTCATAAGGATGGATATAGATTATACCCAGAAAGCATATTTTTCTTAGTTTCTGTATTCAAATACTACATGCGTTTAGAAAAGTAGTTAATCTTTTCCAAGAAATATATTTTGTTTTTAATAATCAGTTAACTAAAAGTATTGACTGATGTATTACCTCACAAGACTACTATGAAAATTATGTAACAGTGTGCACGAACATGATTATGTATACAATTTTCTATAGAGATGTTATTATTTGAATAAATTCTCAAGGCTATGTTTTTTCCAGAATACTATGTACTTTTCATAGATAATATATGATTACAACATGGCCAGAATTATGATTTTGAGCAGTTGTTCTCTGAGCATGCTATTGCTTATGTTGCTGGGATGAAACTTCTCATTTGATCTCTAGATTGCTGTTTAAATAAAGAATTTTGTAGGTTTACATAAGCAACTGCTTTTCTGTTTTTTTAGAACTTGCACTAAGCCTACAATAACAGTAATCAGCATAGACGATGTATAGGTTGTGCATCAAAATAGGAATTTAAATATATTTATAAATTATTTCTTTAATTTATGTGATACTGGGGACAGAATCTGGGCACTTGCATATGATCTGATACTGAATTGTGTTTCAGTTCTTAATATTTTTATAGTTATATATGATTTTAACTGCATATTTTAATGTATTTTACATTTTAAAATGATACAAATGATAGTAAGGTCTATAAGTTAGCAATAAAGGTGCAATAATGATTATAATATGCAGATAAATATTTGTGTCTAGAGCTGTAAGAGAGTTTTCAGTATCAAAGTTGTGAAATAAATTATGGCATTGCTGTGATATGCAGTGAGATTATTGGAAATGGAAAGAGGATGAACATAATAACAGGAACATTAATAGAGGAGGCAGAGACACATAAATATCTTGTGAAAAGATAAGACTAAGTAGGGAGTAAGCCAGGAGGGACTATGCAATGGAAGCTGAGCCAAAGACAGAAAGAAGAACTTGAAAAGGGTGTCTTTGGTTAAATGTTAGGCAAACATCTAACCAGAGTCGTAGGGACTGGATGGAGGCTAGGAGCCCGCAAACAGCTCTACAGGCAGTGGTTGGGCAGAAGCTGTAAGAGAGGAGCAGAAAAGAGAACTGGAGGACAGGAAGAAAGAAAACAGTATGCCTGGGAAAGGACTCAGAGGGGGCAGACCACTGGGAAATCTGTTGTTACAGGTTTCCTATTGCAAGCACTGACATTGGCTTTCATGATGAGGCAGCACAAACTCCCACAGTGATAGAAAAGATATTTTTGGAGATTATGGCTACATCAAAGGGCTGAATTGCCCTGCCCCAAGCCTTGGCAGTAACATCTCTATCTATGATGTTGCTGCCACTCCAAGCTCCATCCACCCTGTTATCCAAGGGGGGAAAAGGACCCGAAGGCCACAGTGGGTAGTCTCAGTGATCATGGTACCATTATTTCAACCACATAGAAAATATTTACTATCAGCGTCTCTCACATGTCTGGGTTGTATTTAGTAGTGAGAGCTCTGAAGAATGTTTTGGTAAGATGGAGGATTGTTAAAGCATATCCTTAGAAAAATAACACGGCTGTAAGCTTTGGAAGGTAGGAAGAGATGTATAATGAATATGTAAAGGTATGAAGTATCAGGTGAAGAGGCTGAAGATCCTAACACTACAGAGTTGACTCTGCCAAAAACTGAGGAGCTGTAATAAGCGGCCACAGGGGTGCTTTCGGAGTTAACCAAACACAAGGCAAACAAAATCACAATGAACATTTTCACAGTTCACTGTGGCTAAGCAGAGAATGGGGAAGCTGAACTGAGTCCACCTGACCTACAGGGGCAATCTGGATGAAACAAGACACTTTCATTCCAAAGACAAGTTTTTCAGGGAGCTTTATTCATTCTGTAGTTGACTATATCAGTGACAGGCTAGGGATCCCAGGAAAGATTTGACTAATATGCCAAGTAGAAGGATTCTTAATACTTAAGTTTTATCCATCTATCAACCTCAAAAACATTGCCAATTATGTGAGTTTACTAAAACAAACTGTAACTATGCCAACTTTTGCTGGATACTCAAGAGGCTTCTCGAGTTTCCAATTTCCTTCTCTATTGCCCTGTATGTGTATGACGATGGGACTCTGTCTTACATTTTAAATTATTGTAAACTTGCTTATTTGCATGTTAATTTGTGATTTTTTTTCTATAATTGATAAACTAAATATTACTTAAAACGAATACATAGGCCTTTTTTCTTAATCAGATCATATGTTTTCAAAGCATATGCTTTAAAAATTAAGTAGATAATCACTACATGTACATTTTTAAGATGCATGTGCCACTGACTAACCAAACATACACACTCTTCAAATAGTTGGTTGCTTTTCTCTTTAGGCAATCCCTAGTATAAATCAACAACCAAGAGCTTGAGGTCTTAAGGAATACCAGACATTGGGTAGAGTCTTGCAATTGCCATGTGTGAGTATATCTTAGGAACAGTGATTTTAATTCTAAGCATCCATTATGTTATGTATAAAATTACTGTGATAATAGTGATGACTAGTATTGAGTTTGGATTCTGTCTTCTCCCTGCTCCTCTTTTTAAAAACCATAATAAGAGATTAATGTGAAACTTTGCTGAATGGATGTTGAATTCTGATGTTTATTTTTCTTTCTTTCTGTTTAAATTCTTTTCCTTATTCCGATCATCAATAATTATTGATCGAGTGTCTCTCTAAACTGGAAAGATCCTAAATGGAACTCCCAGATGATAGTCATCAACACGATGCTCACGGTTAACAGTATTATCACTAAGAGTGAATGGCAGCACACGTGTGTGCTTGGACAGATACCATGGGAGAATTTTTAAGGTACCACAGAGTTTCCAATAAATGCTCTTAGTAAACAAGAAGCTGCAGTGCAAACTCCATGTGAAGTTTCTCTGTCCATGTGAAATCTGAACAATTAACTACAATCATCTGTCAGCAGAGTCATCAGCTATATAGAAATATTGATGCTTGAAACAGTAAACGGATTCTATCATGCTTTAACAGTGTTCTCACACTGCTGTCACGTGAATTTGCATTTTAATCTGTACCTAGTAGCATTTTTTATTCACTTAAGTCCAAAGTAAAAAATTCAGGCACGGTGTGCAGAATTAAATAATAGTCCCTGTCTAGTGTGTCTATTTAGTAGGCACTAAAAGATAGCACGATCTACTTAAAAATGTAATGAATTACAGTATAATATAAATAAATAAAACAATTTTATGCTACAAAGAAAGTACTTCCAGAACAACACATAATATTAATTTATATTTGATTTAATATTTAAGTGATAAAAGTAATTTTAT